AAGGAAAGAATTCCACATGGTGTCTACACTGGAGGTTTGGTTGATCTGACTATGGCACCTTTTTTTTTCACAGCCCTGAGCAATGTAACTAGACCAATCTCTTTTTATGTGTAGACCAGGCCTGAGTTACCTTATTGTAACAAGACACCAGTCTGCTATTGAATTTCAGTAGGGTCTAAGCACCCATTTGGTAATCTCAGCCCTTTTCAATGGACCGTTTTAAAATGATTATTAGGAGTGAAGTCATCAGGCAAACAGAACTGAAGGCAATGACACATACACAGGAGGCATCCCTTGTTCTTAAATGCTGGATCTTTGATCAGTCTAAAGGATGTGGACACATTGGAGAGGGTCCAGCAGAGGGCAACCAAAATGATTAGGGGGGTGCAGCATATGACTTACAAGGAGAGGCTGAGGGGTTTGTCTTATCTAATATAGAAAGGAGAATGTTTGTAAGTTTGTGCGCTAATAACTTGGGCACTATAAGAGCTACCGCAACCCAACTTTGCATTGGGTAACCTTTCCTCCAGGAGAAGGCTTTAAGGTACTTTTGGCAGTGTGTGGAGAAGGGGCTTCCTGGGGGAAGCGGTGGGGACAGTCACTCACTAAGGCTGGCGACGGAGGCGCGAGGGGAAGGGCGGCACTCCGAGCGGCAGCTGCCCCACTTGCCTCTACCAGGCCATTCCACCGCACAGGCACATCCGGGGTGGGGGAGTCCCCTTCTCCCTCCCTGCCTGGGCCCCTCCCCTTTGGCGGCGGCTGAGGGTTGCCAAGCGGCGGCCTGGAGCTCGTGGCCACTGCTAGGGGGCGGTTGCGGGCACAGCAGGGCGAGCCCAGCGCGGAGGAAGCGGTGGGCCCAGGGTCCGGCGCAGCTTCCTGGTCGCGTGGCGGGGAGCCCGGCACCTGCTCACCAGAGCCCGCAGAAGAGGGGAGCCCCCGGCGCGGCCCCATGGTGTGGCAGGTAGCAGGGTGAAAGTTTCGGGGTGGGCAGTGGGGTCATTGCCCCCCATGGCACCTGCAGCCCAGGCATGAGCTGGGATGCTCCGCCCACCCTAGGTCCCATTCTCACCCCCTCCCATCCCTCACACAGGGCACCCATAGCAGGACTCCACCACCTGCCCTGAGCAATGCCGTCGCCACCTCCCGCCCCTCACACAGGGCACCCCCGGCAGGACCCCACCGCCTGCCCCGAGCTACGCTGGGTAACTCCAGCTAGTTGAGTCTACAGGAGAAAAGAGGGAGGGAGGATTTGGAAAAGCACCGGAATGGGTTGCCTAGGGAGCTGGTAGAATCTCCATCCTAGAGGTATTTAAATCCCAGCTTGACAAAGCCCTGGCTGGGATGATTTAGTTGGGGTTGGTCAGCTTTGGGCAGGGGACTAGACTCAATGACCTCCTGAGGTCTCTTCCAACCCTGGGATTCCATGATTCTATGAAACGGGGACTTCCTGAGTGGAACTGAGGACAGACTATCCTTAAAAGAGAGAAGGCCGGACATGGCACAAGCCTTTTGTTCAGAGCTCCCTTTGTGTGTAGATAGCAGGAGTGTGTAGATAGCATGGCCATTGAGTGGGCTCAGTTCTGAGTCAGTTGATAATGGTGTGTAAAGGAGGCAATGGCTCCAGAATGCATGCCCATACGGGGCCCTGGCAGCAGAACATAAACTAGAGCAGCCTCAAAGGCACCATAATTGACCAGGCCCTCCACAGCATCAGAATATGGAGGCAGCCAAATTGTCTTAAAGGACCCATCTTCACAAGGAAATGGGAAATCCTATCCCAAGTTCTAACTTTGACTCTGCTGCACATCACTTCAATTTCTTGCATCTCTGTTTTCACAGCTATCAAATAGGATGGCACTTTTAGATCCAAGGATTAAAATATAAATGTAGGGTTCCCTCCGAGCGGGATGAATAGAATTTGAACTAGCTTTTGAATGCAAGCGTTGAATAACATGAATCACCATAAATAGGAGATGTTACATAGAACAAATCCATGGATTTTTATTAAGCAGTTCCAGAAGGTGGGGAGGGTTGGGGATGCAACTTTACTTCCTTACCCCAAATAGGCATTAGAAACAAAGCCAAGATGCTTTAACTATCTCCTGATGGTTTCCAGCTACTTCCCATATACAGGATTGAAGTAGGGGGAAAAACAGGACTCTAAACAGCAGCAAATACATCTCTGTGGAAATTGTATCCCCTGATTGGCACAATCATGCACTGAGTACCTCAGTCTTACAGTGTTTTTTTGAAATCATTGCGTTTTCAGTGTCGCTGCCAATTGCCAGTTTAATTTCTTTCTGTTTGGAACCCGTTGCGTTCAGATGGGGAGGAATAACGCCAGGGATGTGTATACTCAGCAAGATAAGGGGATGTGTTCTGAGCCACTAAAACCAACATCTTTTGTGGGTGGAACCTCTCCTGAAAGGCTAACAGTGAGGGTAGATGATGTTCACACTTCACCAAACAGCTCTCTCAATGCACTTGAAACCTGCTTGGCCTAATTTGTGGCTATCTAGGATCTCTTTAGTTCTGCCTATTCTATGGCCACCTAGGATTGAATGGAGAAAATGGGGGAAAATAACCAAAGCTCTTCACACCCTGGTAATCCATATTTATAGAGATATTAGTCCTGGGCTACCCTCCCTCACAGCTTTGCTAACGTCCTTCACTCTCAGCCCATCACCACCTACTATCCCTGATCCCTACATCCTGCTTCAAAGACCTTTTAAGACTTCACTTCAAAGAGAATCCTCTGAACTGTCATTCATGCTTAAATTCGACACTTTACACTCAAATTTGAATAAGGACGATAATTATCTTACCCATTACAAAGATAGCTTCCCCAATTATCACGTCTAATATCATTAGCTCACAGACATTTACCTCCCCCTTCCCCCCCCCCCTCCATCCTCCTTCTGTTCTGAAATTTGATTTGTCCTTTTCATATGTGTTCATTTTTTTTAATTGTATCCTTTGGTATATATGGTTGTGACAATTTTCTTCCACTATTTGATCTGAGGAAGTGGGTCTGGCCCATGAAAGCTCATCACCTATTAAACCATCTTGTTAGTCTTTAAAGTGCTACACAGTCCTGTTTTTTGTTATCCCTGACCAGGATTCCCTGCCGCAAACAGCTCTGCTGATACCCCACAGTCCCGACACAAAGCCTCCTTCTATCCCAGCACCCCAGCTCTAATGATGTCCCTCAAATCTCACCCATAACAGGGGTGTAGACAATGTGTGTGGGGGGGGTTTTGGGGGGGAGAGTGCTAACTACAGTGCCACAGTCAGTGTTTCCTTTATTTACTAATGCGATTGCTAAATCTGGGGGGGATGAGTGCCCCTCCAACATGGCAGTTCAGTACATTCAGACCCCCAGCTAGTCCAGCTGTGTCTTGAGCCACTAATTTTGCCAAACTGTGTTAGGGTTGGATATGTCCCCTTGCCTGGACCCCAGAAACTCTGCCCCCTGGGCTTCCCTCACTGCAACCTGGACCACACTGCCCTGCCTCCCCCTCTCTCGCCCCTCGCCCTCCCGCCCCCCCC